AAATATGCAAAAATGCATAAAAACTAGAAAGCTGGAATTTGAAGGGGATGTTGCCAACCTACGTAGAACTTAATGACTTCAGACTCTGTCCTTAGTTGCGCGTGGTTCTCGCGCACGGGCCAGTAAAAATTTGTTGCGAGTGAGTTGCTAACTCGAAAATCAGGAAGGCAAGAAAGCTGAAATTTCAAGGGATGTTTCCTAACAATCTTGGCAGCCAGTCTCAATTCTTTTAGCTAGAAGAATATACCAAAAAAAAAACGTGATGTAAGCGACAAGAACTTGCGGGGACCTATGCAAAAAAGGCGTCATCACCCCGGCAGTCGGTGCGCTGGCCAATTATTTTTTTAATTGAAGAACTCTACTTTTTCGTCAGCTGTGCAGCACACCATGCTCGCAGTTGTGCCAACCGGCCAAAGCACGTCGTCACAACTATACTTACCATTACTGAGGTTTGGCAAATTACGTCACATTCAGCTGTTTTTCGAAATTTGAACTCCTTGGCCACTATTCTTATTAAGCTGTTTTATTTGGAAAAACACTAAAAAATAATACAGAATATGACATAAGTCTTTAAAAATTTATGCAACAAAATGCAGCAAGAGCTTGCTTTAACTAACAAAGGTCATAATCGATCTTCCAAAAATTCTTCAGATGCATTTAATCCTTAGCTGATTGGTCAATAAGGTGACCATATATTTTCGGTAGAGAATTTTGCTGAAAATTTCAATTGAAAAGGGATTCTAAGCATCAGCACAGCAGTAGGAACTGTCACGCCAAGTGTAATCTCAGTAACGTTGACAAAGCGCGACACTTATGGAGCTTACTTACAGACGCGATTCAGCACCCTGAAAAAGAGAATACAACAAATGAAGAGCGCAATACAGCAAAAAGTGGAGCAATCTTCAATGCTCTCCGAGGACGCGAAAAACGTCCTACATCAAATACGCGCTGTCACGGAAGATATGACAGTTACACCAGAGGAAGAACTGGCGCAGTTGCAAGCCATAACATCGGAAGTGAATCCAGAAGTGTTTCGCCAAATTAAAGATTTCATGGATCTTTTGAGGTGATTTATTTGCATTACAAAATAGCGCAATCCAACGGTACACCACTCTCCTCTGGATAGGGCCAGAAGAAAAGAGTTTAGCGGTGCAGCGTGCAGCAAGTGCCTTTTTTCTCGAAATCATTTAGTAGACTGACAGATTTGCCTGTTATGTTTTTATGTGTTTTTGCTCAAAAACGCGTACTGTGGCGACCCCGACGTATATGTGTGTGTATGTATGTGAGCGTGTGTGCGTGTGTGCGCGTTTGTCCGGATCGGTTGGCGGTTCTCGAGTTAATGAATTTTCCCCGGTCAAGTGCCATTCCAGGACCGCGGTACCAACTCTCACGCACATCCGAGCCCTGTGCACGACCACGTGAAAGTTTTGGTGGGAAAATTCATTAACTCGAGAATCGTAAAGCTGGGAGACTGAAAGTTTCAGGCCAACGTACAACTCAAAGATTTCAAATTCAGCCCCCAGTTACGCGTGGTCTATTCTGTGCGTCAGCATAATCCTGAAATTTACGCAGCCACGATGAGAAGGTTACATCGCCTTCTCCAGTACGGTGCTCAAGTAAGATCCCGCGAAAGTTTTTGGAAAGGAAATCGCTAACTCTTGAACCAGGAAAGCTGGAAGGCTGAAATTATCAGGAAATGTTCCCAGCTCTCGTATGGCTTAAGCATTTCAGATACAGCCTCCAAAGTAAACGTGGTCCTCACGTACTGCCTCGCAAAAACTGACGAAAAAACTGTTAAATCGGAATCACAAAAGCTAGAAAGCTCATACTTTGAGAGGACGTTCCTTGACCAAGTATTACAGTTGCATAATTAATTTTCTGAACTTCGAGGACCAGTATGCCATAAATTCTAGCTAATAGGATTCCAAGCGATTTTAATGTAGGACGAAATACTGCAAAAACGTATGAACACACTGCCCTGCTTGTTGCGCATCGCCAGCGATCTTATTATGTGTTTTTGTACATATGCACAAATGAAAGGATGCATATTTTGAAGACCTATGGCGTGTATGTGTGTGTGTGCGTTTGCCCAGGTATTTCTACTCGACAGTCAGGCAAGCTCTGACGCTGAATTGCTGCCAGTGGTTTAACTGAATTATCAAAGCACTTTTTTTTTGTTAACTATTCAATTTGTTGAGCACTTTTCGGGTACGCTTTGAGAAAATTACTAGAAGTCTTATCCGCGTGTATCAGGTGCTGCTTGCTCCAATACTTCAAAAGTGTCTTTCATCCGAGAGGCTCTTGCTCCTATTCGGGCGTCATAGGTGTTACCCATACAACGCATAATCCACAAATCCGTGCAGTGAACTTGTGAGTGACACTGTAATGCGAATTTCTGGTTCTAAAAATTGAAAGCAGTAGAATGAACGGATGAGAATCACACGTGTCTTGCAACATGTGTCGATTTCTAAGAACCGTGATTTTCTTTAACTTTTCTATGAATTATAGGAAGGCTCTGCGGGGAAAACAACTAACAAGTACATTCATCACTATGACGGCATCTACCGATGATATGGCAATAGAGTTTTCAACAACTGAAATGCCCGAAACGTCGTCAGTGGAATCTGGAGTAGCAGAAAGTACCACAGGTGGTGAGGGGGAAGAAGGAAATGGTGGTCCTGATCCTTTGCTTGCTCAATATGCTACCGACGTTAGCTATTTCAATAATTTCCTCC